TGATACATGGGACAAGCAAAGTCACAGAAAGAGTTTTAATTATCTCTACTTTGGGTTATGGACTACACACCAAAAAAATAAAGAAGGACAGCAGTATATTGTTTTTTCTTTGTCTTTTGATCTTCTGGAAGCAGTGATGGATATGATTAAGACAGAGGTTCTTAAAACGAAGATCTTTGCCTTCTTATAAGAGCATACATTTATATAACAAAATGAAAAAAGAGGAATCATCTAGCATTTTGTGGAATTAAAAAACTTGGTCAAACTATTGTTCAGTATGCACTTAGTCTTTGTGTTCATGTTCAGATGTTGTTCAAACAGCAGACTTAAAAGAAAATAATGTCAATGAATCCTCCCAAGCACTATGCATGACCTCTGGGGTAATTAGCAATCATTGAAAAGCAACAAGACTAAAATGTTCTATTCTTTATTACTGTCAGCTCTTATCTTGATCAGCATTTTAATAAAGATGGTTCGTTCCTAAGACAGTTCCATGAATCAGTCATAATTACATCCTGACACGCAGTGAATAGTAAAGCAATACTAAATATCACTTCATCAACCTTTCTAACCTTTATGCAAGTATTAACAGTAAATAATTTTTACACAATCCAACAACAGAAAATCTGCATATATCTTAGCTTTGTAGAGACTCTACCCTAAGTGAATTTCCTGTGACCTACACCAGCAAAACACAATCGGGCATAATTATTCAAGCTCCTGAGATATTCAGGTGTTGCTTTTTTCAGAGTGTACAACTTCAAGTACAAAAGGCTACTTGTTCTACATAATAAAACCTGAAAGGGTTAAATGAAATGATAGTTTCCTTTTCCCAAGCATATCTTAGAAGCTTTGCTGAGCTAAAACATGGTAGGTTCATGCTGAAAAATTGTAACTGGCATGCCTGTGCATTAAAAATGTATTTTATGTTTTCAAATATAAAAATGGAGATAACCAACTACATACATTTTAACAACCAACTTTGTTGGCTCAGACCCTGCAGTTGAGGAAAATACACAAATATGTACAATACACCACAGCAGCTTCTGTTAAAATGGACAACCAGTGACAATTGCAACTTGAAAAATGTGCCTCTTGAGAATTGAATTATATCTACTCTGATAGTTTTAAAGTCTCACAAACTGGTGAACTGTAAAACTGAAAATACCCATAATAGATTGAAAATATCCACAATAGAGCAGCCATTGTTCCACAATGGGTCAAATAACTAACAAATTTATCTAAGTGTTATTCCATACAGGATGAAACTTGTGCTCACTAAATTTCCTTTCTTCAAAATCTAATTTGTACTTTTGTCCTCAATGCTGCCATTGCTACTATTGGAGCACCAAATAGGGAAGAAATAAAGAGGGAAAAGACTGCACTGTTGATTTAAGAAACTGGAATTCCCAGAATTTTTTAAAAAATGTGATTAAGATCTCAGGAAAGCAAAGGATGGCTTATGCCTAACTCTGATGAGGTCCACTACCTCATTATCAACAACTGAAAACTTCTGCTGCATTTTGTTTCAAGAGAATCCAAAAGTCCTTGCTGTAAAGCAGACGGGGGGGGGGTGCAGAGTCCATTCAGTCTTTCTGTATCACAACCATTATGTAAGAAGTATAAAACACTGCCTTTATGCTGCCAAGCCACAATGACTCCTCTTACATCAAAGCGGTTTCGCCACTTGGGTTTTTTTCCTTCCAAATTTATTCAAGCCAAGGGCAGGGAGACAACAATTCATACACGCTAATTACACCTAATTATCTATTCCTCCCCCCACCCCAACTTTCAGTCAGCGTTATTTGCTATTTGGGTTTCTCACAACCTCCTCTTGCCCTGTCCATCCAGCTCAATAGTGAGTCTTTGAAGAAAACAGTTGTGGCTTTTTAGAATATTCACAATGTAAGGTTCAACTCAAATTAAACTATTCCCATTATTAGTTTTGACACATTTTGTGTGCTAAATATGAAGGCCTTTTGCTTAGTTTGGCAAATTTCTAACATCTCTGCATGAAGAGAGTTGCTAGTAACACCCTCATCTACTGGAGTTTCTCCTCACGCTTTCCTTTCATGATCTAAATGAAATGTTTATTGGATTAAAGTTCTTCTCTGCAGACCTTCATGGTGGCCTGTGACAAAGCTTTTACAAGCTTCATTAATTGGCTTGGACTTTGGGGGTTGGGGTTGGAGAAAGATGGGGATAGACCTTATTTCACATTATATCACAAGCAAAGAAAACTACCATGTGTTAATTAAATGAACCAATCTGTTACATGAGGAAGACAATATTACATATCTGCCACAGAATTCAAGGCACTTGTTTGAACCAAAAAGTTAATTTGCTGAAACAGAGAAAAGAACTGCCATTATTGAGATCAAAATGGAAGAAAATATAAGAGTAAGCTGTAATTACTTTACTAACACATGACTTTTTCTTTTAACAAGGGAATTTCTGGGCAATAGCTTGGGCAACCAAAATAATTGGTAAAATTATATACAGTCCTGATCACTTTGCTATAGTTAAAAATCACTTTTATTTAACCAAATATTTTAAAAATCTTTACCTGACTTTTGAACCTTTTGTTTTTTTGCTATAGAATATATTTTTGTTATAAAATACATAAAACATATACATATATTCAGTGTGCTGTTGATTCTAAAATCACAGGACCCTTTTCAAAGGAATAGACACATGTCCTGAGTATTAGATTCTCAATACTTTTGCGGATCAAAGCACATGTACTTTCCAACTCAAATATGATTGAGAGGCAGTCCCATTAAAACCTCAATAAAATACAATATGAACACGTATATGAACCAAGTCTATCTCAGCATTGTATTATTGTGTATATGAATACACGCACCCACTTTTTCTAACAGTAAACAGAGAGGTTTACAATTGCACTATATAGTAAATCCCAAAAGTAATCTATTTAATTAATACAGAAAAAAAGAAAACAGAAAAAAGAAAGGCAGAGCCTACAACTTCCAGGGCTTGGGAAAGAAAGTCTTCTTTTTAAGATTTGCTTGGCTACTTACTAAGAAGGGGAACAAAAGGCCTAACATCTTCAGTAATGAAAAAGTCAATTGATAAGTGAAGACATCACAATATCAAAGACTTAATCTTAGCAATTCTGACTCAGGTGACAGCTCAGCAGAGGTCAGGGTGCTGACACTGACCACAAAAGCAAGTTACAACTATTCAGCCTACTGAAAGCTACGAGGCTATCACAGCATCAGAATGGAACTAACTGACAAATCAATTTAATCACCAAGGTGACTTTTTTAAAAAAGAAATCGTCCATTGACAAATCTGAGTTCCCCCAACACAGGTGGCTTGACAAAGGCAAAACATACAATCAAAGACATTTTTATCTCCTAAGGGGTGCTAAACAATGCACACTTCCCCCCAAAATTGCTTTGAATTTGCTCAGTTGCTGGCAGCTGAGTCCCTTTTACCTACTAGTGAGTAGGTGAATATTCTTGCTACCTTTAATAATGAGCATGTGAGTGTAAGAATGAGCATTTCTTGGAGGAAAGTCAGCAGAAATGTTGTAAACAACCTAATAACTCAATTGTAGGCATGCTTATTTAAAAGCAAGTTCCACCAACCTAAATGTGGCTTATTCTGAAGGAAATGTGTGGTTGTATCACAACATAAATTTCAGCAAGTGCTGTAAGAGACACTCAATAACAGACATAGCAGTTCATATGAAATAAAGTTATTGTATCAGCTAGGAATATGACATTAAAACAAAACATTTTCAAGGAGCAGGACTGGCTGCTTTGCACTCCACACATGGAAGGAGGAAAGCAAAGTAAAATATTAACTCCGACTGTACACAGAGAAAGTTAAGTGTGCTTACTTTCCACTAAAATAATTATGTCATAGATTTCAGTGGTACAAGAACTGAATCTATAGGATTCTAAGCTGCCTTGGTTCCTTGCAATAGGAAGCAAACAAATACAAATAGGAACAAACAAATACATTTGCTTATTTCTTTCTACCCATAGTGACTATACTAGCTTAATAATACTCACATAATACTGTGAAGTAAAGCAAAGTAAAGTACTTTTAAATCTCACTCATTTTAAAGAGAAACATTTAAATAAAAACATGGCTGTATTGTGCCCAAGACATATAAAGCAGCATTTTTTGGGAATATTGATCAAGCAACTGGCTTTGCTTTTTGCATTATTTTGAAGATAAGCCATTTATTCTTATTCCATCAAATTTGAACCAAAAGTGTATTAGGATATGTGTTACAAGAGCTAGGGACAGCTACTGTCTCAGCTGCGTCCTCTTGCATTGGTCTTCCATGCAAGTCTCATTGAAATGAATTAGGACTAAATAGCTTTAGTACCTGTCAGACTTCAAACAAAAGCATGCTTGCATGTGCTTTCTCTTTTTAAAATATAAATATTGCCCATTGAAGTCTGCAAACCACAGTGCCAAACCATGTAATCAATCCTTCTTAAGATCCAATTCCCAATGCTTCATTTAAGTCATTACTTTTCCTCCTCCTTTTTCCTAAACAGTGGGAAACCTGTATTTATGAACCAAATGACAAAACAGTACCAATAATCTAAAAAAATCTAACTAATCTAACAAAATTGCCAATGATTAGCTTTGATTTTTGGTATGGAGAATTTTTGGCATCCCATAAGCAAGCACATGTGCATGTGTATCTTAAGTTTGTATTTCTAAGAGAAAGGGTCAGGAATGAGTAGTAGGCCACCACTTTTCTGAATTTCCCTGTGGACTTTCTGTGTTTTCAAGAAGACTCAATATTCAGTAAGCTGATAAAAATGAAGATTTCCTTTTATTTTGATAACAGTCCCCTTTTAGTCCACTGCTCTGAACTCCACCAGAGAAAGAACTTTTCTATTCATTCATATTACCAATGAAAATGAAACAATAACTCCTGCTCTGTCCCAACTGAATTATTTCCTATATATTTCAAAAAGGTTTTTCCCAAAACCATGTCTTTTTCTTACCTTTAGAATAGCAATGAATGGCACAAAGTTAGCTCTCTGGAGCCCATTTTTATAGAGGTCTGAAAAAGAACATATTGGTTTTATCTTTGCTATATCCTTCTACTGAGACTGTCTGTTGATTATATACATCAAGAAATATTAAAATCCAAATAAGAAAATAAAATGATGGAACAACACAGGGAGTCTCACAAAATCTGTATAAAAATTAGAACTGAATCTTTGATACAAAAAAACAAAAACAAAAACAAAAAAAACAATTTAGCAAGAGAGATATAGGCAGTGTTTTCATGCAAGCATAGCCTTGCTCCTGCTTGCATGCCCTTTCTCCCTCAACTGGCAAGGCTATGAAAAGATCGGAAACTTGCTTTCTACTCAGGCCATGATTCCAGCCCCATTTGGTAAAATGGAAAGTAAGGTGCAAACACTCTCTGTATAGACAGAAGAAACTGGAGGTTGTTACTTGCTGAAGCCAGCATCCACATATAGACCCTGAAAGTACCATACACAGAGAGCCCTCTCCCATCAGACAGACCTTGCATACATTTGGTGCAAATACATTCCTCCACATACTTTCCAGCCAGGCATCCCTTCGACTAGCAACCCCCTCCCCTCCATACAGACACATTAGGTAGAAGCAGGGTGGAAAGGCAAAAGGGAAGACCATATTTCCTCTTTTGCTGCCTGTCCTATAAGCTTCTTTCCCAAATGTACATGTGATCTGGATCAGTCTATTTCCAGAAGCCATAGAATTTCCTAGGTATCTTTTCATCACAGAAGCTGGCATTCCTTTATGCATGGTGCTACAAATGTGCATTAAACAAAAATGCATTCCCATCTAAATCTGTTGAAAGGATATAATAAACATTCTTCTAACCCTTCATCTAATCAATAGCTCATCCTGTCTGACAATATTAATTGGTAGGGAGTCATAAAACCAAGTGCAGAGGATCTAACGGTCCTTGTAAACAAGCCTTCCTCAATGTGATAACTTAGACTACAACTACCAGCATCTCTCATTATTGGCCATGCTGGCTGGGGCTGTTGGATATTGCACTCCAAAGCATCTAGAGGGCACCACATTCAGCAGAACTGTTCTCTAGTACTTCAAGTTTCTAACAAACAAATATTTATTTCAAACAGGACAATAAGGATGGGAAAAATTCAAAAGGTGAACAATAGGGCCATTTTAGAATGAGATTTCTCAAGAATATGATGGCTACCTTGGATTTTGGAAGGAAAACCGCATTGGATTGGATCACAGATATATAGTAATTTAGCACCTTGAATGTGCCACATGCCTTGATTGTGCAATGTGACTTATTTTGGACAGATTCTGTGTATCATGCTCATCCTTGAGTTTAGCATCTTTAACTATAATGCCTAATGTGCTCATACCCAGGACAAGAGCAGATGGAAAAAAGGTCATTGTGACTTCTTAAAAATGGTGGAATTTTCCCTTGAAAATCCATCAGTGCTTGACTTCCAAGAGATATCACAACTGCGATGAGAGTTCCCATGTCATAATTTACAGTTGACAAGCAGCATGCTGATAATTGCTGCTCAGCTGCTCCTGCTACAAGAAGTTTGTTTAGCACGCCATTATTTCCTGCCTTATATCTGTCCTGACAAGCCAGAGAAATAATTCAACAAACCATGAATTATTTCTTTGGCTTGTTGGGAAAGAAACAAGCCAAAGGTACAGCTTCATACTTTATGGTAAACAAACTGGACAGCCTGTATTGTCAGGTTTTCAAAGGAATCCTGACTTATTGTGATGTGTGAACAGACTGACTGCAAAGCTTAAGTGGGCTAGTATTTGGGTCACTTAAGAAGGAATGGCTATTAGCATGATATTTCATATTTTAATAAAACTTAACATTATGCTCATTCCTACCTTGGGCTTAGAAAGCCTAAACATTTTTAAAATGTATAAATTGAAATCAATGAAGGCCATGCTTCTGAATAGTTAGTCAATAGTTTAGAATTTTACGTACATTCCTTTTGTACCTGAGAGAAAATTTGGAATATTTTCAGGAGTGGAAACTTCCTTCTTAAATACAGTTATCATGTAATATTTGTGATTATTAGCTCTACTTCAGTGGGGCTTCTCGCAATTTCTTGATGGGATACCAGCATTTACAAACAATTTGGGGCAACTCAGGATACAGTCACTATTAAAATGCCAATTAAAATTCCTGGTATCAGGCAACTGCTGTTTTGGAAAGTGAGGATTTGCAAGGGACGGGGTGAGAGAGGAGGAGAAGGAAAGTTTCTGAATAGAAATAATTTAATAGATGTCAATATGTCATTAAGAAATTTATCAAAACTGCCAATACAAATCCAGTTGCATATTTCAGATAAGAAATTATCACATACATTAAAACAGTATGCAATAAGTATTTTCAGTAACTTTGAATTACTAAGCGAAAAGCAGATGGGGTTTCCATGAAAGAATAAAACCATTTTAATAAAATCACTTTAATTTGCCAATGATCTTCTAATAGTAGTACTTTGCAAAACTCAAATGATAATGTCAGCTCATTCTTTTACATTCTGATGCAATAGTTAAAATGCCACAATGTTTTGCTTTCTTGGGGAACTGTCAGGTATACCTTTAATCATACAGACACCTAGCTTTTCCATATACACAGAGCTTTTCCAGATGCATACAAATGCATGAAATGGAAATGCAACATCACAAGACTTGCACTGTAGTTTTCCAAGGTGATCCAACCCTGGTGTTTGCTGCCCTGTAAAGCTGACAAAGTCCAAGGCGGGGCATGCAGAATATGTAGTTGAGTATATGAGAATATATCTCAGGGAAAAGCTTATGGACAGGTCTTTTTCTGGGACACTTAGCACACTTTCCATTTATATACTATAGCAGAATACAGGGATGGGTTCCAAGCCTCTCAGCATATGCTTGAAACCATGGATAATACTGAGCTCTTTATTATGTACTTATACATTTCTTTTTCTACAATTTCACAGATAGAAGATTAATTCTTACCATACATCCTCGCAACCTCAGCATACAATTCTTTTTCTTTCCCTATTAAATCAAGAATTTTCACTCAAGAGAAGCACTTTATGACTTTTCCTTGACACTTCATGGCTTCTCTTTCAGATGGAGGTCAACCACATTTAAATGCAAACATAATAACTGAACTAATGGATATGGGGGTCCTGCTGTATATGACTCCGTTGGAGCTTACAAAACTGCTGCCAGGAAACATTTTTAAAATTCTGAAGTAATTCCTGATCCTAAACACCTTTACTGAGTGAGTAAGATCTTCTCAGTGAAGCCCCAGACTCATTGGACATGTTCACATGGCCACCTGGCAACTAAGCTGCAGATGACTGAGGTCACCATGGGTTGCCCTCCCCCGGCTTCTTCCAACAAGTATCCCAGGGGACATGAAGTTGCATTGTCTCCTCTTCCTGCTCTGTTTGCAACATCTTTTTGGTTGCTGCTGTGCAGCTCTTTTGGTTCATCCCCGTTTTCCCCTTGACAGTCTTTCTAATATACCCAAGTAACACATTGGGGTGCCCATCATTGGTTCACCACTTTCTTTTAAAATTTACATGGGTGGATTTTATGATAAATGGAAATTTTATTGCATGCAGTTTCATTAATATAGAACAAAAAGAAACTACTAAAAATATTGTTGATGATTTGTAATTGATTCAAAGTGATTGGAAAATTTGTTGGTTTAAAGAACTATAATTGTCTTTCTTGCGAGCCTCAACAAAGTACTAATTCACAGAAAGACAGAAATTTTTGGCTTTTTGGAGAATTTAAAGGTTATGAATATTTATGTTATATCTATGTAAGATCATTTGACATTCTTATTTTTCTTTTACATTTTTCTTCCTTTCTGCACTTTATTTCTTTAAAGAAAACAATAAAAAAGTAAAATGTACACGGATAAACATGGTTAAATAGCTAAACAAGACTTTTGGCAGGGAACTCTACAGATTTCATTGGCTGCATATTTTGGTATGCCAAAAAATCCCTTCTAGTTTAGTGCTGTGAAGAATCCTGTTTTAAAAGAAACCTTTGCTTTGGATTGCTGTCAAAACTCTGTGATCCCATAAATGTGATGGGAAATACCTTTCTCCTTTGCTAAGCATCTAGAATCTCAGGCAAGGGTGGAGGTTTAGGACAGTGAGAATTGTCAGGTCCACACTAAATGATCTCTGTGTGAAGGGTGTTATACTCACCCCTTTTCAAACAATCTTTTTGTGGCTTTACATTTGACAGCATTTTTGTTTGAAATGCAGAACAAAATTACATAATAACCTATTTGCAGTCTTGACTGGGCTATGTCCATGGCCGGTAGCTTCTGTACTTTGAAAACAGACACTTACCATGACATTGAGCAAGTAAGACTTTTCATTTTGGTTACCTGCAAGTGTGCATCAGATAAAGACTGATTTTGATTTTTAAATTACAAAAATATGTGCACAGGTTTGAGGTGCCAGAAAAATAAAAATGTGGCAAACCAGTGAAGGCTGTTCTGAAGTACCGCTTGAGCAGCTGGTCCTGGTAGTGGCACAGGCATGCTTCTTAAGAGTGGCAGGGGGTTTTGGCACTTGCTTGGACACTGATGACAATATATTTCTGGGTTTAGATGACACTGTGACCTGCTGTGGTTCCAACTAACTCTACATCAAGCCATGGGTTCTCACATGGCTTATTACCAAAAAACAAGCCCTGCAAAAACTGCACCCAATTTAGACAACACAACAGCTGACCATGCCTGGTTAGCCATGGTGGATTTTCATGCCGTAAGAACCAGGTATATTTTTAGCAAAGATTTTTATTTCACGTATATACATTCAGACTTTGTTCTACAGTATTATTCAGGGCTGCAAACTCATTTTTTTCATTTTTAAAATAGTTAAAGCACTGAAATACTCTCCACTAATCATTTGGACTACATTAACCTGCTGATTTCAGACTAAAGGCTATCTCATGTTGGCTCAAACTCCACAAACACAGGCAATTGGAAGCTTAGTTTGTTGCTTTAACAGACAATTAGTATTGCAACAAAGCTCTGTGGAATCCATCGTGCTAGCACTCACAGACATCTTGTCATGTCCAGTTGTATCTTACAAAGTGAGAAGAGATGCTTGCAAAATTAAGCTTATCCAACCAACAACATTCTTCCAATCATGTGCAGCAACAAAGGTTGCTGCACATGAAATGGAAGAGGGATGCTTGGGCAGGATAGGTGCAGCACTTGATTCCTGGTAAGCACTGCATGAACACTAGATAATGCTTGCCAGGAACTCAGACTCATGGTCATGACAAAGTGGACTGCAGTCCAGGAAGCTAAGCTGTTGAATTCCCACCCCAAAACAGTCTCCTCACACATCCCTACCTATTATAAGTAATGACTTAGTGCAGTGTTAGAAATTGTGCTTGCTTGCAACCTACCCTTCATGCACCCACAGTTTTTGCTTTGGGAAGTTTTGAGAAGCTGACTGCCAATAGTAATGATGGAGATTGTTCATCTTTGATGAAGCCCATTTTTGTGCAGTCCTGTACTCGTTTATTAGCCTATACCAGTGATGGCAAACCTTTTAGAGAACAAGTGCCCAAACCGTAACCCAAAACCCACTTGTTTATCACAAAATGCCAACACTGCAATAAAACCTGAATATTGAGGTTTTAATTTAGAAAAAAACAACTCATACATTAACACCTTTTGTCTTAAAAGAAAAATACAATAACAGAGAGAAGGAGCCATGTTCACGTTGAGCGCCCCCAAGTCAGGGGATGCCGGGCTTGCTTGTGCCTGGAAGCACACACTCCCTCCCTCCCTCCTTGCCCTCAGACCAGCCACCAGGAACGCCACAAGAGCTTTGGCGAGGCTTGAAAGTTTACCGGAGGGGCAAAATGGGGGGGGGGGGGAGAGACCTAGACTAAAGGTAAGGAGAGGCTATCGCTGATCCCTTCCCATGCTTCCATTGGAATCTATCTCAAGGCACCCCCACGGCACTGCCAAGCCTTGGCGAGCTGGATCGGGTGAGGAGGGGGTTCCCTGCCACACGTCCACTCCTCTTGCTTTGCAGCAGTTCCAGCCTCCACATTTCCTTGTTTGGGCCTCCCTCCCCAGGAAGCGCCATACCTATCCCAGGCGCCCTCTCTCTCCTCCTCCTCGTTCCAGCTGCTGCTGTTGCTCCACTGCCTCGACACTGTTGCACACTCCCTTCGCCCAGCTTCCCCCCCACACGGCCACTGGTGCAGGAGCCCAGCCCGGGAGTGGGCAGATGGGTGCGCGGCTGCCTGGCTGCGCCTGTGGCTACTGAGTCAGCAGGGTAACACCACTGCACTAGGAGGGCGCCTTTGGCGGCCGCTCAAATGCTGCAGGCCAGGAGGAGGCAGGAGGAGGCACCACTGCCAGTGCTCAGCACACCTGCTCGCCGCCCACTCCCTTCCTGGTGCACCTGCCGCGGCTGTTGCACCTGCCTCTTGTCACCTGTTTGACACCCCCTCTTGCAGCAAGTCGTGGTTAATGAGTGACATCATTACCTGGCGCCATTACTCTTTCCAAATATGTGCATGGCTTCTGAGGCAATGCTGAGGCGACTTGGCTTGTGTGCCAACAGAGAGGGCTCTGCATGCCCGCTGTGGCACATCTGCCATAGGTTCGCCATCACTGGTCTATACTATTCCCTGTCTGTTTGGGCTGCACTGACTCACTCAGGTGTGACAGATACCATAACTATTATGGAACTTCCTGATATACTTTCCTCAAAATGGAGGCCCCAGTTCTAAATATTTGCAGTGTATCCAAGCACAGTCACAGCTTAGATTCATTACATTGCATACTGATTGTCAGTAATGTCTGAAAACTGGATATTTTACAGCTAGGTCAAACCATGAAGCATTATTTTATAAAGCACATACTGGACAGCTTGCATATGAGAAACAGATACTATCACTGTAGCCAATACATTAAAACTCAGTTACAGAATGCAAGTCTCATTTACTACCATACATGTGAGATTGTTGGAAAAATGAGACAGTTTAAGGGGTGACTGTCTCTTTGCGGTTCAGTTCCCAAATTAGATGTGTCAGTGCTTACCCAACATTTTGAACAGCATCCCCCAATCCCATGTCCCCAAGATTTTTAGGACTACAATTCCTAGCATTCTGATCATAGGACATGCTGGATGGGGCAGACTGGATTTGAAATCGAAAATTTGAAATCTGGAGGGCACCAGGTTGAGGAAGGCTGTTCTAGGCACAGGTGGGAGTGACTGCACTGCAGGCATATACATTGATGCTCAAGACTCAAGGCAGTGGTCAAGCTTGCATGGTCATTGGGTAAACAAGCCATGGGTTCTTCATTGGTTTCAAACCCAGCTCCACCACATACCTGGCAAGGTCTGGACAACACAGCAAGCTGTGTGCTGAGACAGTAATTAAACAAATTATGTGGCATGTATCTGGCACATGCAGGACCTGCAAAAATAATCTACTGTGGCTTCTTTTCCCATTTTTTTGTGAAAATCTGGCCAGTGACTCCTGTTATACCCCAGAGTTCAGCTTTTCCTGCTCACTCAGAATTCCTGGTTCTGTTGCAATGCCTTGTAACTGCACTTTTTGGCAGTATCCAAGAATGCTTTTCCACAGTACCATCTGGGGAAAAGGAAGGACTCTTTTATCAGGCTTCCAACAATTATTCATGCCTTCATAAGCTCAGAATGAAACTTACTATAAAGTACTTTAAACAGGGAAGCATTCATTACTGTATAGAAACTTTAGTTGACACAAAACCTGGTAGCATGCCTCTTGGCACAGCTAGAAAGTTGGAAGTAAATTATGCCAGTTCTTCTGTGTCTATCCACACTCCTTATTACCTTCAGATCATAATTCAATGTGTACGTGTTTTCCTCTAAAATATATAACTCAGGTCCAATTAACAGGAAATTACTTTCTCCTGCTATCCATTAGAAGATCTAAACTCAGTTTAAAAGTTCTTTGAGTATATTGCCTGCTTGTGAACTATATGCAGAGAACAGTTTTCAATGACTGCACAAAACTGTGCAAGACCTTTCTCCTGGAGACATGGCAGTGTCTGAAGTCTGAACCTCTTCCACAGAAATGTTGCCAACTTTCCCCCCACTTCTCTTGTATGAATTTTCAGGGTTTTTAAAGGGTTTCCATGGGATACAGCTTGTGTGTCTTAAAAGCATGTATTTAAAATTGGATTAATTCATTGATGCATTCCCAAAATTTTGGGATGGTGTAAACTAGAAACATATATTAAAACTATACAAATTGAAATATTAAAACTAAACAAATTGAAATAGTCTTCCTGATTTTTCTTCCTATCTGTGGAGCAAGAGGCTTGCCTTTTGTCAGTGGTCTGTTGCAACCCTTGTTCAGCTGCTGGAGTTTCTTACATAAACCCTAATATGCTAGTATTATGTCTTGTATCCGAATTTGTGCTACCCATTGTACGTAGTTTATTTAAAATGTTTGGAAATGTTAATAACATCATTCAACGCTCACTGAAAATGTTTCAACATTTTCATTTTTTCTGGAAACCTTCAGCCATTTTTCCAATTTGCTATGCTGATCCATTATTCACTTCCTGGTGCAATCATCCTGCCTGTTACTCTCTAACTGTCTGTTTTGGAGCAAGTCACTTTTATTTCATGGATTATGGCCAAGAAGTTCTTGAATTTCCATCACTATCTGTCCTTATTCTACTCCATTATCTATTTGTTTTTAAATTGTTATCCCATTATTCCTCTAAAGCAACTCAAGACAATGCATATGATTTCCCCAAACTCCCATTTTATTTCCACAGCCTCCACATGGAATGTCTTAGGCAGACAGAAAATGACTGGTCCAAGATCACCAGCGAGATTCATGGCTGAATGGGGATTTGAGCCTGGATTCTTTCTAGTCTGACATTCTGGTTACTATACCACATTTATGTGAACATTCCTTTTTTCAGTTCATTCTTTCTCTCAAATGTAAGCAATAATACCAGACATATAACCATCAAGGAACAGTTATATAACCATTACTCTGGTCAGGCTTCTTCCTTGTCTTCTCCCAGCTGCTTCTACTTCCCATCTTCAAGAGAGAAGGGTGACTGGCTCTTCCACTCTACAGCAAAAAGAGTGAGTGGGCTCCATTGTAGCTGTTCTATGACCTGATGGCATATCC